TAAAACAGTTTAACACTGTGTACACAGTGGGATGAGGGGAGCCGCAACTCCCACGGCTCCCCCCCCCCCCCCCCCCCCCCCACCGGATACGTCCCTGGTTAAAGTCTGGGGTTTTCAGCACAAGAAGCTGAAACAATACCACTCGGCCAACTGATAGAGTGGAAAAAGGGGTATAACCACCAGTTTTTCAACCATATTTGAAATATCAAAAAAATATATCTCATCAACCACTCCCAAGTTTTTTTGTCAAATATTCTTTTTGTGACTTAGAAAAATCAGTTTTACAACATACTGTATCAAAACATTTTTTTTTTTCGGGTCCTAGCTTTAAAGTCTATTTCTGTCACAAATAACATAGTGCAGTCTTGTCCTCTGCACATGCATTGGCATATTTCAGGGCCTTTATGGTGTTCATGAGTTTAGAGTCATTTATGGGTCATCTTTCTTTCTTCTAGCAATATTATTTTATCTTTCTGGATAAAAAAAGACATGTACCATTTGTGTACTGATAGATAGTGAGAGTTAAGTTCGAAAGTAAAATTTTTAACCATGAACCAATAATTGAGCTCAAATTTACCAGAAATAACCTGACTGGGTTCATGTCCATTTGTTTTTTATACATCCCTTGAGTGTCTTAAAAATCACTTGTAGAACATATAAGAAATGTTTTCCTCCAGAGCCTGGCTTTATTAAAATGATTGTTTAATAAAGTGATAGTTAAGTCAATGAAATTTCTGCCTCTGACGTAGGGATTAATGGTCTGTCAGTGGCTGGGGATGTTCACCACCATTTTTACTCTTAATAATTTTTTTGCAGCAGTGTCCCCCATAAATAAGCAACAGAAGCAACACTTTTACTTTGATGAAAAAAAGAAGCCAAGTAATTGGTTTAAGTAAAGTAGTTGATTCTTCTGATCTAAGTAAAGTAGTTGATTCTTCTGATCTAAGTAAAGTAGTTGATTCATCTGATTTAAGTAAAGTAGTTAATACTTCTTCTGATTCAAGTAAAGTAGTTGATTCTTCTTCTGATTCAAGTAAAGTAGTTGATTCTTCTTCTGAAGTAAGTAAAGTAGTTAATACTTCTTCTGAAGTAAGTAGAGTAGTTAATACTTCTTCTGAAGTAAGTAGAGTAGTTAATACTTCTTCTGATTTAAGTAAAGTAGTTGATACTTCTTCTGATTTAAGTAAAGTAGTTGATACTTTTTCTGATTTAAGTGAGGTAATTGATACTTTTTCTGATTTAAGTGAAGTAGTTGATACTTCTGATTTAAGTGAAGTTATTGGTACTTCTTCTGATTTAAGTGAAGTAGTTGATGCTTCTTTTGATTTAAGACAAGTAGCAAATGCTTCTTTTGATAGTTCAGGATATTCTGGAATGATCACCATAATTAACATAGATGCAGATGCTTCAAAATCGCCCTCTTCAATAGTACATGTGATTTGTGAGGCATGAGATTCTAGATTTACACATATTTCTATCCAATTTTTATTGAATTCCATTTTCACCTGATGTTTCATCCTGTCAGGAATATTCCAGCGGAAAATAGCATTATCTGTTCGGTTGCCATAACAAATGTACTTGGCCTTATCTCCAATTTCAAACATATTGCGTCCATATATGAAAACAATCAACTCATTACTTCCTTTGAGTGTGACCACAAACAAATTTGTTAAACAGAACACAGACAACCAGATGTAAGTGAAACCAATCATTTTGAAATTTAAATTCATTAATACATTTAAAGTTGCTTGCAGTTATACCTTTCTGTGGTTTTTTTCTGTAGCAGGTCATATTGATGGTGCTTTCATCTTTTGATGTTCTGATAAACCTCAGTATCCATCATAATGTGCAGTACAACTGATCCAATGTAGATAGTACAACTTCAACAGTGCATGAATTTTTTCTAGTAGAAAATGTATGAGGGCAGCATAATAATGTCAGGAAACTGCAGCAAGAGCATTGTGCCAACTTTTATATATATTAATGAGGCAACACTGTTTATGCCAGCCTTATGGATTCACGTTAAACATGCTTTAATAATCACTGATTTTTTTTGTAAAGCTGGAAGTTGAATGTGGCCCTTGAGGAACAGTCTTCTGCCACCTGCTGTAGTAATTCTAGTGTCCCACAAGGCTTTGTTTTTGGACCTATACTCTTTCTTGTCTATATAAATGATTTACCAGATACTGTTTTATCTCAGCTCGTTATGTATGCTGGCAGCTCTACTCTCTCTGCTCTAACTCCTCTAGATCATCTTGCAACGATGTTGCGTTATTTAACAACAATCTGAAGTATGTTCTGAAGTGGGGTGAAGACTGGTTAGTTACATTTACCTCAAAGAAAACCAAACTGATGGTATGCATCCTTCCGACAGTGTGGGCCAACTTGAGCTACCTGAAGTGCCTTACCTTTGTCTACGTGGTCTTTACTTCTGTCCAGGGGTGACGCCGGGGTTGGGGGGGCTGAGGTTTTCGATGAGAGCAAAGTGGGCGTGGTCGGACGTCGCTCAAAATCTTTCAAAAGTGGTCGAGGGAGCAAAGCCCAAAAAAATAAGGCAATTTAGGGGTTTCAAAGGCTTATTTATTCAATTTTAGAGTTTACTATAATGTAGAAAATACACTCAAATTCACTTCCTATTGATTGTTTTTCTCAGGCTTATTACCTCCCTTTATTTAAGAAGAATGCCAATTCTATTCTTGTGCTCCCCTGAGCAGTTGATTTCTAGACCAGCCTTGTTTTAGGGTGATTTGCCGAAAGAAAAACATAAAGAAAGTAAATAACTTAAATTAGATTTGACCTTGACCTACGAGGAAGTGTGCGATGTGCGGATTGAACAATATTTAAATGCTGATAATGGCAAAATATGCTAATTTAGTTTGTTAAAAAGGAATTTTGAGCATTTTAAAAGATTTACTCATGCATACGCGCACGTCATGACGCACGTGCGCATCTTAATGTCACTGTTGTCTCCTGATATGAGATATATATATGTATCAACTTTCATTGACAAACGCCTGTTGGTGAAGGAGTAATGATCATTCATAGTATTTATGGTGACGTCACAATCAGCTATTATGATATATAAAATCATATCTACAACTCATGTGCTTTTAGAATATGTAATAAAAATTGGGGGTCACCTTTCATCCTAAGGAGCTATATTTGATTATAAATAGGCATAATTATAAGCATATGTAATTTTTGACTCACGCGTACGCGCACGTTAAGACGCGCAAACAAAAAAGTAAGATACCTAACATTACACCTTGACCTGAATTATAAGCCCATTTAATATTATTCAGAAATGACGAATGGTTAAAATGATATGACGTCATCAACGTTTTGAAAAAAAGAAATAATTAAAAAAAAAAATTCAGATGGCAATATGATGATGTCACAATGTCCGATCAGCTATTATGATATATAAAATCATATCTACAGCTCATGTGCTTTCAGAATATGTAATAAAAGTTAGGGGTCACCTTTCATCCTAAGGAGCTATAACTGATTTAAAAAAAGACATGATATAAAGCATATATTAATTTTGACGCATGCGAACGCTCGCAATATTACGCGCGCACAAAAATATAATGTACATAACATTTGACCATGACCTGAAGTTTATACCCACTAAATATGATTCAGAAATCACAAATGATTAAGGTGATTATGGGGTCATCAAAGGCTTGACGAAAGAAAGATGAGGGGGGTAAGCAAAACCCTATATTTTGACCATGATGACGTCATCAACATGTAAAAAAGTGCCACATATATGAAAGAGAATTGCCTCAGCTACAACATACTCAAAGTTGGAAGACAATCAATCAAGAATGAGCGAGATACGCTCAAATGCGCATTTATTAAAATGACGTCATCAATAATATTCAGTTTGTTGAATTCAGATGGCAATATGATGACGTCATAATGTCCGATCAGCATTTATGACCTATAAAATCATATTTACAACTCATGTGCTTTCAGAATATATAATAAAAATTGGGGGTCACCTTTCATCCTAAAGAGCTGTAACTGTTTAAAATTAGGCCTGATTTTAGCAAAATTTCACTGTATATCGGCACAAATGCGCACAAAGGTCACTATGTTTGATGCGTGCGTACGGTGTTGTTATTGGCCATAGAATGATTGAAAAGATTGGGAACTTGTCAAAACAATGTCAGGAACCCAAAATGTGACAACAAAATTAATTTCTAGCTTCCATACGTGCTGCGCGCGTAAAAATGCGCACGCGTAGTGGTAAATTTCAAAAAATTTTGAAATGCTCAAAATGGCCTGAAATGTGCTCTAATTTAATCTAAATGTGATTTTGAGCATTTTAAAATTTTGACGCACGCGTACGTGCGCGTTGTGACGCGCCCGCGTAAAATTAGGGTACATTACATTTAACATTGAAGTTAATGCTCACTTAATACAATTTCAAAATGGCAATTGGTTAGGCTGATAAATTTTCTGTTTTTACCTTTAGCAATATAAGTCATTGTGAATAAGAAAATGTTTTTGACAGTTGTAGTTTTGTATCCTTTTATTGTTTATTTTGGTTTAAATTCTTGTTTTGCATTGTAAACCAACTTTTTCAGCCTGCAAGCTGTTTGTTTTTTTGTTTTTTTTTATACTTGAATAGAAATAAATAATGTTAAACATTATGCTAGATTTAATGCAGCTTATTAATTTGCAGCTTATTGAAATACTAGCGAAGGTTTTTAAAATCGCATAACATAAGAAATACATGGGATATTTTTAGACAGCGTCTATGTCAAGATGCGAAGATTAAGTATGGCAAATTCAAGTACAGGGGCCTGAATAAACTATCATAAAAAGAGTTTATACTCATTTATATTTTTTACCATGTTAATTTTAAATGTATTGCTTTTATTGTGTATTTTCCATACCATTAATAGCCACATAAATTTGTTTTCTTATACTTTGAAATAGTGTAAAATATATTTTGAGTGTCATTAGAACTCATTGTGTTTTTTTTTTAGGCTCTGAGTCAAGCCCTGATGACAGTGCGTGCCGAGATGGTAGAAATGGCACAAGACAATGCAAAGGCTAAAGCAGATGAACAGGAACAAGATATGAATGTTCAGAAGCTTGTTGATAGAGAAACAAAAAAAATGAAGGTGTTTATAATTTTGTGTATTCACATTAGTGAATTCTCAATGGTGGAGTGGAAAATTATCAAGCAAACATTTTTAAATAATTCAATTTTTTATGAAGATAGCTTTTTGTTTTTGTTATATTTTACATTTTAATACATTTGTTTGTATTTTCAATTTTTTTAAATTTTTTTTGGTATTTAACACAATTTAAAATTTAAAAAAAAATAATCTGAGTATTTTTTTTTCTGTTTGAAGCATCAGGACACCTGTAGGTTTAAACATTCAGTAGTGGATCTAAAGATTAGCAAAGAGGAGCCCCCTCACCCCGACATGATGAACATTTCCGATAACCTCGCAACTACCACTGGGGGTCTTCCAGAGGCCTATGCACTTCACGCTATGTAATTAAACATTGTGCGTGTAGCGCAAGAACTAGCTAGCTGCTCAGGCTAGGCTAGGCCGATGGAAGTCCCCTAGTGAGTTGCGAGATATTGGCGGCGCTTTTTCAAAATAAACCCAATAAAATGTATATAGAGAGAGAGAGCAATTTCTCATATTATTAGAAGTCATCACTAATTATAGATATTACACCAAACCTTTGGACTAGAATACATTACTATTGTTTTCGATTTTGCTATGTCTATTTCGTGAATACTTACCTGGATAAAGCTACTAATTGCCATTGTTCCCAAAACGGAACACCCCTTCAAAATAAAATGGAACAGTCTGACCCAGGGCGCCACAAACGAACTTTCTCCCTAACAAATGTCCTTATTCCCTATTCGACATTCGTTGAAAGAGAACCTTCTTTGTGTATTGTTAGCCACAAATTTCTGGACCACGTGTCTCGTGTTCTTGCAGCAAAGTGGAGCCTTGCGAGGTTTGCGCGCACTGGCCCCCTACTACCAACATCACAATTGATTTGTGTATTTTATCAGTTTAATTATTTGCTATTTTTATCATCTTTTTATTACGAAGGAGCAATTTGGAGATGTTCAAGGCAAACTGGAAAAATTTAAGCGAGAGCTGAAGAGGGTCAAAGGTCATGAGAAAGAAATTGAAACTCAATTGCAAGGAAAAAATGAGGTAAAGTAATATTTATTAATTTTGTTCATTTTATTTTTCTTTGTGATTGCAGTGTCTGCTTCATCATTACTTACATGGATAAACTGTCTGCCTTTGATTACGGTAGATAAAATTAAAATTAAATACTTTATAACCAGCCATACAATTTAGAGACCAGTAGTCCAACACAATTTGTGATGTACATCATTGTAAACCTATTTTATTATTTATTCAAAGACTTTCAAACACGTAATAGGCTTGTTAAATACCAAACCTTTGAACAATAATAATGATCCTCTCTCTTTTGTTCAGCCCTGCCTTTGATTGATCCTGTTTTTTGTTTTCTATTTTATGTTTTTCTTTTTTTTTTTTTACCTCAACTCTTCTTTACCTTAATTCATATTTTATATCTTTATTCTTAATTTTTTAATGCACTTTAAAAGTTGTTTCTATAAAACATTTTCCCAAAATTACTTTTGATTTGTTTTACTTTTGTGCTGTGTTTCCTATTATTATTATTTTTTTTATTATTGCATTTTTTCTGCAATTTCTTCTGTTATTTGGATTTATCTGAATTATATCATTCCAATGAACTTTTTTGCTTTTTAGATGATTTTATAATCAATTTTAAAAGTTTTTCAATGTTCGTCATTAATTTTTAATAAGTTAACTTTACTGTTTGGTAATGCTATGTAGAGAAATTATAATTAAAATGATCATTTACTGATTAGGAAATTCTGAAGAAGAACTCATTAATTGATGAGTTGAAGGATGAGCGAGTGCGATTGAAAGCTGAAATTGAAGATTTAGAAAAAGATATTGATTTGGTAAGAACATTATTTGATTATTTTGATTATCATCAAGTAAAGGTTGAAACGTGAAGCTCTGAGCTCAAAGGCCGAAGTGCCCATCTCTCTTCCTTTGGCATTTGAGGCATGTTGTGGCGAAATGGTAAATTTGTCGCACAGTCTAGTATTGAGTAAATGAGCTATAAAATATGGGAGCTCAAAAATTGACAAAAAATCCAAATTTGTTTTTCACTGTAGGTCAACAGTTTAATGTCTTATTAATCATGTCCCAAAGTATTAGTTCTGGAAGTGGTTAACAAATTGTTTATTTAACATTATTTTTCATAGTTCATTCTATTAAACAATGTATGCACAAATAATTTTGAAAGGCAATTACTCAAAATTCTGTTTATCTTGACTATAAAAGTACTGTACTTTCACTTTCCAATAACTTAGGTTTGAAATGTCCAATTTGAATGAATGACCTCTCATTTTAAAGATCACATACTCAGGTATCTGAAAATACCAATAACTTGAATTTAAATTTTTGCTACAACTTAGCCATTTTGCCACAAAATGCCTCATTTGGGCCAGACTGTGCAAGGCTGTGGGGGTTCACCACTCCTCCTGCACAGCAGTCTGTTTTACCTTCCCAGCATATGCCGGTACCCATTTATACTCCTGGATGGAGAGAGACAAACGTAGATTAAGTGTCTTACCTAAGGAGACAAGCGAACTGCACAGCGAAGGTTTCGAGACCCATAACCTCAAGGTTGAGTGTCCTAGCCACAACCCATTCGCTAACCAATTCTACAAAGATGTTTATATTTATTATCAGTACTGTAATTTCCACCACATCATTATTTATTTGCAATAATGTATGGCCTATTACCTCTTACATAACACTTTACCACTACCGTCTCTATCATTACATATGTGAATCTATGTTGACAATAAAATGTAAATTATATTTTTTGCATCATCACCTCTATCATCATTATCACTTCACCTTTATCGTCATCATCATTAACATCATCATCATCATCGTCCACATCATCACCTTCAGCTGTTATATGTAACACACCTCAATTATCCTTTTGCCTTACAAATTATTTCTTTATACTACGTTTCTGTTTTTTTTTTTTTGACATCTCTGAATACATAAAAAAATTGCATTAAAATATTATTTTAAAAATTTAAAAATTACATACAAATGGACACAGCAAATATCAACCATTTCATACAGCAGAAAAAATATGATGCCAGGGATAACACATATAAGTTATTAAAAATAATTCATTGGATTGCATTCATATTGTTTTTTTATATTCCTTTATATTTATTGCATTTATATTCTTTTATAGGCTAATACATTGATTTGGTAATCTCTTCTTGCCTTCCTGTCATTCCATAAAATAACCAAACCTTATAATCTACCCCTCAACAGTTTATTTTCTTGAATATTGAAATAAATCTTCATATTTTTAGAAACCTGTTCAAGATGAAGGTAGCAACAAAACAGCTGAATTACAAAAGAAAATCCGCATTCTAGAAAGAAGATTGAACGATGCAGAAACGAAGAAAGGCGAGAAAGGTTCAACTGCAAAGACAGAAGAAGTTAGTATTATGATGATAATAACAGCATTGCCTACATCATCAACCACAATAACAAACATCATTTTTATATTCCATTTTCATCATGATGTAATTGTTTATTTGTTTGTTTTTGTCAGTGTGTGTTATAATTCGATATCAGTACTCTATTTGTAATATAATTCAAAATTTACTGTATGGACCAGTACAACAGAGTAAACCCCTTACTCGTCTCGAAAGATGTACTGGGTTCTTTATAGTGCACACGAACCATTGTGTTTACTGGGCCTACGGTTTATAGTCCTTATTCGAGAAGACTTCCACCACCAGAACCATTATAGGCGAGCATTCCAATATTATGGCTGTAGGTTGCAATGCCCCTGATTTAAGCGCTTGGCCATCCAACTATAAAGAAATAAAGAACAGCTTTTTTCCCACAGTCCTTGTTTCTATTTTTAGTAGGATTTTTACCACCTTGTTATAATGCTCAGGTGGCATGTAACTGTTAAGAACTGTGTTTGATAAGCAAAGATATTTACAACATAGCAATATCTTAAAATTACTGATGCTCATGATATGGAAATGAAAAGTCAAATTGAAAACATTTCAGCACAGTAAGAAAAGACTGTCTATTTTCTGCCAGACCACATTATGTGAAATTAAGTATAAAATGATATATTATTTTGTATTTCAAGCTGCTACCTAGTTGGCCCAGGCTCTCCATATACCTTTACAACAATATGAATAAGAGTTATAACTATAAGTATTATAATAAATGTTATGATTTTTGACCAATAACAGTATTCTATATAATGTTTTTATGTTTGCTACAATTTAGTCTGGGATTGAAGTTGCAAGATGGGAAGAAAAGAAGAAATGGGAAAAAAGAGTTGAAGCTCTTCAGAACAAACTGAAAGAGAAAGAAAAAGACACAGAAAAATTGAAGAAAAACAATGAAATGTTAAAAGAAGCCCTCAACAGGTTTGTATACTAAATATATTTGATTTCAGATTTTATGAATTATATAAATGTGAAATTTAAAGAAATATCTGTGGGTGTGATCGTTGCTCATTGACCAACGACAAAGGAATGAGGACAATGCGGTATTGGTGCAGTCACGTGCTGGGACAATTGATTTTTGTTGTAGAGGTGTTTTAAAAGAAACAATAGCAATTTACTAGTCAGTTTATACAGTAAACCATCTCATAGACTACCAGCATCACTTGTGTTGTTTTTAAGAAATATCTGTTTATTGTTTATGTATATTTATCAATTACATTACTCTGATTGTGGAGTACATTGTAACAGTACAATTTCGGTTTTGTTTTTCAAAAGAAATGAAAAAATACAAATGAGCCGAACAACTGGTGTGACATCGAGGAAACCAGCCGGGTTTAAACCAACTCCCCCCAGCAGAAGTGATCCAAAGATTGAGGAATTAAAACAACAAAATTATGAACTTGAGGAAGAGGTAGAGTTGAAATCAGTGGAATAACAACTAGTCATGGGGTTTGGGGGCTAGAAAATGTTGGGGGCCCTTTGCGTGTCAGGAAAGTATTTTTACTCCTGGAGATGTTTGAGTGGGTAATCATCTACCGATTTTTGGACTAAAAAGACTGGTCAAAGCTCTATATTACTGTGGTGGTAGTAGTAAGAAGAGCTATGAGCCCCCTGTTTCTTTGAAGTCCCAGCCCCCGAAAGCTCATGGGCCTAAGATGCCACTGGTGAAAATAGGTTCAAATTTTGATAAAACATGTTTTCTTCCAAATATTATGTAACATCTTCGAATTCCTAATGTAAATTTTTATCATACCATATTTTCTCCACATTATTTATTAATGCATAGATGCATTTTTGTCCAAGGGTAAGTTGACAAATGCTAAGTTTCTTATGGAACTTACACCTTAAGTAATATAGAAAATAATTTAATTTAATTGTTCACTTCAGTGTGTGTCGCTGTGTGCACTCTTACCTAGAAGGTTTTTTTACAACAATTTGAAATAGAAAACCTGATAAAAAGATGTTGGTTGCTTGTTTGATTAGGTTGCTTCCTTGAGGAGACAGCTGGCACTGGGAAATGCCGGTGCCCTTGCCGAGGTGGAGAAAAGAAATGAAATACTGACCAGTAAGATATCAGCTATGGAAAATGAAATGTCAAGGCGACTTGCAAGTAACGTACAGGTAGGTGAAATCATCTGAACTAGACAGAACATTGTTAGTCCAAGACCAGCAAAACAACGGATACCAAAGAGCATCTCCCATCAAAAAAACACCTCTCCTCAAATGAGGCACCGCTCTCAAATATGTACCACGGAAAACATGATTTTTCTTTTTCCACTAAGCACTGTTGTCGAATATGCACTGTAGCATTTATAGAAACATATTGTATTTTGAATAAACAACACAGCGCCTAAGAGTGTAAACCTAACATGCTTTTTTTTTGTATAAATGGGTACCTTTTAAGTATCTATTCTCTTTCAGGTTAGTAACACTGCAACAAGTCAGATAGGACTATGTACAACACAGTACCATTTTAGCACTACAATAATAACCGCTCTTGAATACCTGTACTCTCCAATACGCATTGCACTGAAGCCTCTCTAAGACTAGCGCTTATTACATTTTAGTGGGAAAAAGTATGGGGTAAATACTATTCCACCTTAAATCCCACCCCAACCCCCTAATTAATCATAATTAGTGTAGGTGGAAGGACACCTCTCTCATCTCCACCTGGCAAATACTGTTGACACCTCTGCACGTTTTCCTTTAAATTAATAATGTTTAAGCACTGATAGAATGTACTATGACATACAACCATGGTGAATACCACTTTAAGAACCCAAAAGTGTAAGTGTAATAAGCTTGTTGATACAGTATATCTTTATTTACATTATTTTTTTTTAAATAAAAGTTAGATTCAAATGCTTTGTTGGAAGGAAGAGAGGAAGAACTTCAGAAACAGCTTCTGAAATTGACAGAGGAGAACATTGAGCTAAAATTTGATGCAGAGCAGGCCAAGAAAGACGTGCCTCGTTTGAAAGCTCGGATCACCGATCTTCAACAATACACAGAAGTGCTGAAGGAGGATTTGGAGAAGGAGCGCCAGAAGTTACTGCGCAGCAGCTCTGGCAGTCTCCGAAAGGTAATCATGCACAATTTGTCACTGAAAATTAGTATAAGATAAGCTGCACGTGTTTTCATATTACACAAAATATTTCAGAAAATGTATTGTTCCTGGCAGGATTCAAACCAAACATTTTACATTGAGTTGTTCTAGTGAGTTCTTCTCCCATCTTTTAACATTGTGTTGCACTTTTACCATTAGTTTCCACATTCGGCCTGTGCCTCAGGCTCCGCTACTGTGCACTACTGAGGCAGAGACTCAAGAAAGCAAAGAAATTGGGTGAAATAAAAAAAAACTGCAACAACACTTTGAGTAAGATTCAAATAAAAAAAGTGTCCTTATTCAAGCACAGGCAAATAGGAAATGAGGACCATGTTTGGGAGATGATTTGTACATGCCGCCCTGGGACTTCAATTTTGCCGAAGGGATGTTGCATTTCAGGAACAAAGAATATTAGTTGGTTTATCCAGGTCAGTATTCACAAAATAGAATAAGATTTTATGATTCAAAATAAAGGTTAATCATTCTTGTTTGCAGTCTGGTGGAAGCAGTGGAAAGTCTGTTCCTGAATTAGAACGAATAATTGGACTGATGAAGAAAGTGGTAGAGAGAGTTCAGTCAGAGAATGAACAACTGAAGAAGGCTCCAGGAGTTGTGACCCAAACAGAAATACATAGTTTACGAGAAAAAAATAAAGAATTAAAAGTAAGGCTCTCTTTTTTAGACATGAAGATTTGATTTAAAAATGTTTTAATAGATACACTGTAGCTTTGTATATATTTTTGGAAGGTATTTTCAATTCCATTAGATGTGTAAAAAAAAACCAGAATATATTAATTTAAATTAACCCAAAATATAATAATAAGTTTGTTCGCAAGTACTATGAAAACGGCTTTGACAAAGAAAGATTTGTATTGTATTGTATGTTTTTCTTTTCTTTTTATTTTTTCCCTTATTGTTTTCCAGAGTGAACTAGAAAAGGTAAAGTTAACATATGGGGGCCAGTTAAGTCAGCGTTATGAGAGCTCGCAAAAAGGAATAGCAAAAGTTGCATCCGAAAATGAGAAATTAAGACGGGAACTAAAGAAGGAGGTTGAAGATAATAAAAAACTAAGGTTAAGCAAGAGCCAGATGGAAGTGGACATGAACAAGACAACACGGGATCTGCAGCAGGTAAAGTACTATTACTGCTTAACTGCACACAAGCATTAATTGCCTAAATAAAAAGAATATGTCTTTAATCAACCTGAACTAAGTGATAGTACTAAGAAGAAAGAACTTTGTGTCTGATATAAAATCCTAGGGTTGTTTTTTTCCTTTTTTCAGGGTCCAAAATATTTTTATTTTATGATGTTTGAAAATAGCAAAATTAATTAATTTTAAGCATAGGTAATGTGCCTGCTTTTTTTTTTTTTTTTTTTTTATGAATAGAGTCAACAAAAGCTGGAACTTGAGCAGGCCCGTGGGGTGAAGACAGAAGCATCCGACAGCAAGAGTTGGAAATCCATCGTGGTCACCAGGATGTACGAAGAAAAAATGAAAAATATGGAGCTCGATATAGAAAAAAAAGTAAAAGGAACTTATTTTGTAAAGCTTATGTGTTGAGTAAATTATCTATATTAATTTATGGAATTTCAGTATCTCTACTACACCTAATAGTGCTACATCCAGTAGTGCTACACCCAGTAGTACTACACCCAGTAGTACTAACCCTAGTAGTACAGTACACTCAGTAGTGCTTGTAGTCCTTCCTGGTCACTGAAGTCTATTATGCTTTGTACTGCATGAATTTTGCAAATTTATTTAAATTTTACTTTGTGACATAAATATCATCAGATATATATTAATTGTGATAAATAATGAGAGTAAGAGTCAAAGAAATGTATCCGCACTAGCATAACATGCATAGGTTTTAAATGATGTGCCAAGCATGCCAAATTTTTGCATCATTCATATCCAATAATCGTTCTCCAGAGTTCTACTATACAAGACATGAAGCAACTGCTACGAGATGCAGCCCAGAGGGAACAGCAGATGATCCATGAGGTAGAGGAACTCAAGCAGAAGATCATTGTTCTGGAGAGATTCCCAATTGATGCCAATACAGATGAACAGCTGGTTCAACACCTTCAAATGACCAGGTGACTATACATTTGTGTTGATCTATGCTTTTATTCAGTAAATATTGTCATGGGAGTGGATGTGGAGCTGTAACTTAAGAGTTTTAATTCATTATTGTCATTTTTTGGAGAAATGTAAACTTGAACACCCTAATAAATAATAGAACCATCTGTTTATGTGTACCTTATTATGAGGCCAATCACTTCTTCTTTATTATATATATTATTTCTTTTTCTAGGTTAACAAATGAACGGTTAGAAAATGAAAAGGCTGAACTGTTGAATGAACTGAAACTTTTTCGAAGACAAGGTGCTTCTTCCTCGTCTGGTCCTACAAGTCAGGTAAATTTAAAAACTTGGTACTAAGACCAGGCCATAGGCCTTCATCAGGTGTACAGCATAAAAAAAAGAAAAACAATATATACAAATATAACGGACGTAAGACAAAGCAACATTGACGTGAAGCAACGCTATAATAGAAAAAAGAACAAAAGCCTTAAGGGCGTATGTCAAGCTACAAACAAGCAGTCAAGATAAAAACGCGGGAAAAATATACTATGGTAAGAATCATATACATATATATAAACTATATATAAGAAGAAATAATATATAGGCCTATATGAATATAAAAATGAAAACGAAAAGAAAAAAAAAATAAAAATAAAAAGTATATAAATAAAATAAAAAAATAAAAAGAGCTGATCAAATAAAAGCAATAATAATCAAACACATGGTCCAAAATCCAAATCCAAATCCAAACAAGATGAGAAATTATATCTTAAAAGCATTAAAAGATACATTAAGACCGGAGGGAGCAATGG